TGTGTGTGGTCACGGTGTAAATTGTGTCGCGACAAAAAGGGGCGGAGTTATCTGGGGCGGGGCATGTAATGTAGATATAATATAGTGTAGTGTGTGTAGAAAATATGTGTGAAGGGCTCTTCGAGCAAAATTCTCAAGAATAGCCACAAACAAAATTTATATGTAAATGCCTAATAGCGACTCCCACGAAAACTTCTAGTTGTCACGCAACCCGAATGATCCTCCCTATGCAGCGTCTGCTTCAGAGAGTGCAGACGACCTGAAAGAAGACGTGGCCTAGTTCGTCTGTCCCTCCTACTTGCCCCTACAGCCTTTTATTAGTACTTCCCGAAAAATTATCGTTTGTTCCAGGTAGTTAAGGAGGTCGGCCCACCACATGATCGCTCGTACGTAGTTCGATGTTCTCTGAAGAATCCCAAAAACGAGGTGATTTTTGCTTTTATGGCTTTTTACTACCTAGTAACTTTTGATGGGTACAATGACCATCTTTTATTATCGGAATTACCATTTTATGAGTGTTTAAGGTTGTTGTCGAGACTGTAGGCGAAGGTCGTAAGAAGAAAGAGGCTACTCAAAGTGCATGTGCAAATGTTCTTTCCCGTCTGCGAGGCATTGGTAAGTTATATATGACCCCAGCTGACAATATTTCTGAAGTTCGTAGGAATGTCATTCTTGCTATTCCAGAGAACTCACCACTTTTCATTGCGTCATCGCTCTATAAGTTGCAGAAGCGTGTTCTGAATCCGTCCAGAGAACCAAAGAGGAAGACTATAATAAAGGTATGAAATATTTTTATGGCAAAAATACGAAGGCTATATTTCCCGATATGGTAATAGTTACCTAGGAACGTAGTCGAGGTGGCAATATTGCGTCGTAGGCTATAAATCATCCGTTCCAATGCGAGAAAAATGGCATGGTTGTTTTGTGGCATTCACTAAGAATTGCATAGATGATTGCTGGGAGAACCAGGGGGGGGGGGAGGGGATAGAACGTGACGATCCGTGGTGGTTGTCTACAGCATACTAAAGGCAGGGTTAGGCTAGGGTCTTGATTTGAGGTGATTTGCATTAGTACGTCTCAAGACTTCCCTTGCATGGTCAAATTCGTTCACCATGACTGAACCCTATCCAAACTCCATCCGAACTCTCCATGGATTTTTCAGCTATTTCATGAATTTTTCCATAAATGACCTCGGCCCATCCTCCCTATTTCTTGCCGAACTTTTGGGCTATTGAGTGTAATTTATGGGACCTGAGTCGTAACATTATGATCATACAAGCCATCTTCACTCCGAGTACTGAGGGATTGCGTGCAACACCTCGACCCAACTGTCCTTTTTTTCTGCGCTGTTTATGAGTAACGCTTCACTTTAGCCATGACTGTTGTTTGAAATACAACTGTGAGATTTTTGATGAGCGTAATTTTTTATTGGAGTTTTTTTAATTTTTCATCGGTTGATTGATTTACTTATGTCCTAATAATTATTTTTCATTTATTTGTTTTTCTAATTAATTTCCATCCAAGGACATGAAAATGGATCCAACTTACGGTCATCAGATCAACCCAGTTTCGCGCCTTATTCAAGTGCTTCAAGCTCGTTGTGAGGATGAGCCTCAGTTTGAGCTGATCTCAGAGCAGGGTCAGAGTCGCTACAAGGAATTCACGGTGCAGGTATGAATTTCACTTTTTTTTCTCATATCGGAAGATCATAGCGGTAGTTCTAGGTGAGCTGTGGTTCACGTATTTGTTCTGGAAGCGGGCCAAATAAACGGCTCGCGAAACGCGCCGCTGCCGAAGCGATGCTGGCTGAGATAGGTTATGTTAAACCGTTACCTCCACCGGGAAAGAGTTTGCTCAAGAAGAAAATCGATTCTCAGCTTAATATAGGTAAGTTTGGTATTATTTTTCGTACAGTCAGCTTAACGTAACTCACGTCTTTCATTTTGAAGGTGTTTTTGATCCCAACGATCTGATTACTCCTCCAGCGCAGAATGCTACAGGCTGTACCACGTCAGCAACGTCAGATCAGCAAGATTCTCAAACTTCCGAGGAGCAATCTCTTCAGGAAGGACTACTGTCAGTTGCTCAGTGGATTCGAATCAAAAGTTTATTTTAAGCCAGTGCTTGTTTCAGAGCGCTTTGTGTTGATGATCAGAACGGTCAGCAAGCAGCTCGTGTTGATATGACGTGGTCTTCATCAAATGATGGTGAATGTGGTGAAGGGTCGAACAACGTGCCACCATCTCCTGGACGTCGCCGTGTTACATTCAGTAATCAAGTCAAAGCTTGTCCTCCACCAGGTGCGTTGGAAATCTGTAACATCGATATTTGGCTCTGAGCTTCTAAACTTTTCAAATGATTATTAAAGACGTTTTGATTTTTGCTATGGTGCCTATCTTCTTTTCTTCAGTTTGCCATGAGGACTGATAGTGATCAACAATAGTGACGTTACATATCGAAATTTCAAAATAAGGGCGTTCGTAGCTACCTAAAGGCACAGTCCACGTTGATTGAATAGGCGGAGTACCACTCCACAGAGCGCCCCTCTTAGGCCGCTTTCACAGCTTGCGACATTGGCGAAATGCAGAAATGTAGAATTGTCGAGAAGCATTCCATACATATCGATTTCAAGAAATGCGGAAATGACAAATTGCGAAAAATTGCTACGTATCTAACCCTTTCTTCAATTCTGCATTTCTGCATTCTGTCATTTCCGCAGCAAAGAAATGCAGAATTGTCAAAAAGGATTAGATACGTATCGATTTTCCGCAATTGGTCATTTTTGCATTTCTTCAAATCAACATATATATCTATTGATTTTCGCTAATTCTGCTTTCTGCATTTCTTCAATTCTACTGTTCTGCATTTCGTCACTGTTGCAAGCTGTCAACGCTTCTTTACTGAGGCCGTCTAGAGGAGGGGCACCGGAGGCAGGATGGCTCCGGTTCGGCTTTGGCATGTTCCCCTCCTTCTTGCCTTTCTGTTAAGTCTACATTTGTATAAGGCGAAAGGACAGAATTCCTAACAATGCTTCAAAAAAGGGAGTGCTGTTTGGTGTAGGGCCTTGTGCTCGTAGTTTGATAAAGATTTCGAGAGTTGGCGCCAGGTCGTTCCGCTTCATGGAACGTATTCAGTTACATCTGTGGAGTTCTACTCCATAGCTGTCTTGTTTTCTCTGCCAATGTGATGGGCATCGGATCAAATATTGGCGCTAGGAGCTGTAGAGGCATCCAAAGAATTCTGCAAAGCTTATATTACCGTCATCCAAATGGAATTACCACATTTAAAGATCCCCCGTGCGCCTTCCTCAGACAAAAGTCGTTATCTCAGTTTGGGTAATTCTACCTTTCGGTAAGAGGGCTTTCGAATGCCTCGTCCCATTTAAAGGTTATTAGCATCCAAATATACACTATTTCAGATGATAGCAAATATCCTGAGCCAGAACTGGCGCCGCTCAAAGCAGATGTTTTGGTAGAGGGCCGTGTTAAGCGCATCAGAAGAACAAAAGAAGCGAAACGGTGAGTTCCTGGTGAATTCCGCGATTTACTCGCCTGTTTGAGATTGTTACAACTATTTCCTCTTTTCATTAGAATTAGAATTCATTTTCATTTCATTCATTTCTTGTTTAGGGCTTTGTCGGACGATCAAAAGTGTGAGATCCGTGAAATAGCAAGAGTATCGATACAAGCGTTGCAAAGTCCCACCATCATTCCTTGTGGAGAAGGTGCGGTTCAATGTAATTACAGCGTTTCTGCATTTTTACTAGGTTGAGTTATACAAGCTCAAATAGAATGCAATCGAGACCTTTGTGGGCAGGGCGCCATTCAAAAATAAGGGTGCACAGGATCGCTATTTGAAACTTACACTCTTGTTGATGCTGGGGCATGTCGAGAGAGCTGGGTTTAGGGCGGCGCCAGGCCATATTCCACCCCTTGTTGTCATCTGCTGGCTTTAGCAATTGGTTTGGCGGAAAACAGGTTGGCGCTGCGCCAAACCCAGCTCTCTGACATGTCCTAGCACCCACAGCGAACAAGAGTGTACATAAAGTCACTTGTAACAAATCAGGAACATGACGAATTTCAAGGGATCGGCGCATAAGACGAATTTCAAGGGATCGGCGCATAACGTCCTTTTTCCGTATCGGTTATGGAAGGGAGGGATGGAGAAGTTTGCTGTGGAGCTTTCGAAGGCTTTCTAGCT